GCAGAAAAATATCTTTCCTGAGAGTGCAGAAATTGGCAACTATGAGCTTTCTTTAGTTATAAACTGCATTATAAGTACAACATTCAATTGTTCGTAAATCTGGTTTATAATTTCAAGGGTAAATTAAGAGCTGTTTATTGGCTTAAAAAAAAAATAGAAAGCTTACTGCAAGGGGTAATCATGATAATGTCATTTTGTCTTTGGAAAAGAGTCCTCGTCATTATTAATAAAGATAGCGATTAAATCAGATCATTATTTTTTTTTCTTCTTTTAAGAATGATTAATGAAGATTAAATGATTCTTAAAATCATATTAAACACAAGTTTCAAAATTTAGCTTTTACTTCTTGTTGTATTGAGCACAGTAGTTTCATCTTTCCCTCTTGCTTAAAGTAAATTAAAATATCGTAAAATATAATATTTTCATGTTGATTTATGTAAAATTTTCAGACTAAATACTATGAAAATGTGCACATTATACACAAAATTTAAAAAAAAAACTTTTCAGTTTGATTTTGTTGTGTCATATTCACAGAAAAATATAAATTTACCACTTTTGCAAAATCACAAATTTATATTCACTTCCATAAACATCAGCGTAGCAGATATTTTTGTCAATCTCGTGTAAATATGTAAATAGCTGTACAGAGTTTCTCGATTATTTTATATTTTATTATACCTGCGTAAATGTTAATATAATTCTGACTCCTGTAAATATTATTATATTCTATTTTAGTTTAATCTCAAATATGTTTAATTTCCTATTGATTTCATCGTATGTTCAACCAGCTGATTTTCCACTCATGACTTTACTATTTGGTGCTTAGCAACTACTCTCCCCCCAATTCTACTCCCACTTCACACATTCCCCCATTCTCGGAATTCGGGCGAATCAGTTAATGCCGCTTCGCGGCAGCGCACTAAGATTTGAGCTATGTTCTAGCGTAGCAGATATCATATTTTGAATTAGTAATGTTAGAAATGTAAAATTAACACATTTCTGGACGATTGCGAAATGTTTAAACTTCCACAGATAGAATTTTATAATGATAATATCAATACAAATTAATCGGAGACAAATATTGGAAGGGAACCTATGAAAACTAAATTCACATTAGTAAACATATTTCATGAAAAATGAGAGAAGTTAGCATTTGCGATATATTTTTATTTAAGTTTGATAAATTTATAAAAATCTTAAAATAAATTCCGATTGTATTCTACACATTAACTCACGAATTTCAATACTGAAATCACATAAAAAAATTTCCTGTTATAAAAGTAATTATATGCATTTAAAGTAAGTGAATGTATATCAACATCGCCAACTCTTGACACGGTGTTGCACAGCCTTTTTTTTTTTTCGCTTGATTTTTTAAATCGCGTGAAATAAGGAAAACAAAACTTATTAAATAATCAATTAACAAGTAATAAGAATTAATAAAAATGATATCTAAAAATCGCGACAAACATACGTTTTTCTATTTGCCTTTAAAGAGACTGATGAAAGAATAATAAATATTGCTTCTTGCAGGCGAATTTCTTCTACAGTGAAGCAAAAATAAAAATTCTTCATCTAGCATTTGATTTGTTATAAGGTTCTGTCAGCATAAGATGCCAAGTCTATGGTTCCAGTAAGGCTACAAAACTATAACCTTTTTTTTAATAATTCTGTGATATATATCGTAAAAGATAACATGAATTAAATTTCTATTTCACGTATTTGACTTTTAAAAGCTCTTAAATTGTTCTCAAAACATATTTGTATAATTTTATAAAAAATTTAATACCCTATACCTCAATAATCTTTTCTTAACTTGCGACGGAGTATGAGCAAAATGAAGCAAAAAAATAAAACCCTCTATCCGCAATAAATGCGGAAAGATGCTCTATTTTTTTATATTGAAAGTGTTGAAAGAAATGATAATATATTAATATGTATATTAAGTGATTCTTTAATATGCAAGCTACCACTTATTCCTTAAATATTAATAACGACATAATTACAGTTCCGAAATCAAATCTTTATATTACTTATCTATCGCAGTGATTGCACAATATTAAGCTCTTTATGTTATACGATAAAAGCTAATCATAAAATAATTATTCTAATAGTTTTTAGGGCTATTTTTAATAACTTAACCCTAATTGGACAGAAAAGCAATCGAGATTAATTTGTTATATTATTGATGCTTTGACATATTGTGTCACTGATGATCACGTTGCAATTGATCTAATGTTTTTGTCTTCCATCAGGTTTTCAAAAACGACCGAATATGGTCAAATAAGACCAAAAATTGGCCTTTTTTTCATCAAAATCACATAACTTCGTTAAAATTTACTATTTTTTCCTTATTCTCGCCTTACAATATTTACTAAATTCACCTTAGGAAATAAACTAATCATTAGACATAATGTTAATATTTAACAGTAAATATAGAAACTTATTTGGCAAAAAAGGTTAAAAGTTGTGATTAATTATTTTATTTTAATATATGAAGAAAAATATGAAGAAAAAAAAGTTTTATGCACTAGTCCGTAGTCTATTCCCTAGGCCTATGCATAGAAAACATTCATGCAACATTTCAAGTAATTTTAATCAAAGAAGTTTGAGATATTGCATTTAAAATTAGGAAAATAACGGAAAAATTATACAAATGGGTAAAAAAGACACCGTTTTAAATTTAATAACTCTTATAGATGTTTTTCTTATTTATTTATTTTCAAAATCATAACTTCAGTTCCATTCGACCTAGAAAATAAAATGGTTTTTGAAAGAGAAAAATCCATAGTTTTATTTTATGCAATAGAAAAAAAAAATATTTTATTCAAAATAGGCTTAATAGAAGTGGTCGCGGGTTCTTCATCAAAATTAAGATTTAAAATGCTAAAATTTTCTTGGGTGCTTGAAACGTGGCACATCTTGCAATAAATATCCCAGTTAGAACTATGTTTTATGAAACTGTCGTGTATTAACTGAACTCGGGGAAGAGAGAATGAAAAAAAAATTCAACACTCGACTAGCAATCAGTAGTGAACATTTCGTTAACCCGTAACGTTGCCAACTTTCTTTGCTTTTTGGGAGAATGTTTTCTAGTGGTAGCTAAGTATAGGCTTTAAAGTATTAGAGTTTGTTTTGAAAATTTGATTTAACAACACCACATGTAAAGGATTCAAAAGCTTGTATAAAGAGCCAGTTTCTTCCAGCTCTCACGTGGTGAGGTTTTTAAGAGGTTGGCAAAATTACCAAACATTTTGAAAGCTTTAATTTTAATTTTCTATCACTCTATAAAATATTTCCCTAAAAGTCTTTTAATTAACAGCCCTGCATTAGTGTTGTGCGAAGTTTATTTTACACGTAGGGAATAAAATTTTTTTTAGCTCAAAATGAAATTTAGCTCTTTTTAATTATAACTTAAGTTTAAAAAGAACGTATAGGTTTATATACATACAGATACACTTACCTTTTCCTTTAAAAATAATAATTAAGACAAAAAAATATATGATCTTAAAAAATCGCACTGAAAACTTCAAATGCATTATCGCCTTCTTTTTACCACTCCCTATGTGGCAGAGAAGTGGGGACACTTAGTATTCATTCGAGTATATTTTAAAAAATCCTTGTATGGAGTATATTATTAAATTGCTTAAAAACTGTAGCTTGTCGATAAAAACCGATTGCAGATTTTAAATCAGTGAAGTGAAAACATTTAAAACCCGTACAGAAATCTCATGTGACCGGAAAGTAATTGTTAGCCTGTGTTATTCATTTCGATTGTACATTCTTTAATGCTTAGATAATTATGAATTTATTTTGGAAACAAACACACAAAAATATTTTTCAATTGTTACGTTTAGTTTAATTCAATTCAATAAGTTTTTTTCGATATTATTTTTTTTCTCCAAATTTCTATTGGAAAAGTATTGCAAAAAGTTAAAGTAAAGCACTTTAACTTTCACAAGACTTAAAGTAAAGCAATGGCCATATCGATAATCAATGAGGTGGTGGAAGTTAAAGCTCAATGAATTCAAGACCAACAAAATGAAGTTGACTATGTGGTCAGTAATGGTCAGCGGCCTTTACTTCCCAATCTAGCTGGACGTATTTCAAGCCTTCACCGCAAGCGAAAGATTCTATACAATGACAGCAAAGTGCTTTAATCATCGCGGCTCGTGCTTAGTTTTTACATTCTTTTTTTATTTTCCTCCCCTCTTTTAGAAAAAATTATGTTTTTAAAATTAAATATAAACTAAAATTTTTGCAATAAACAATGAATTAATATGAGTATGCAAAAATATTATGGAAGTAACGAATTTATTCAAAAATTTGTAGAAAATAATAGTTCTAACGTTGCACATTTTATATACTCACTAGTAAAAGGCTATTAAATTATGCTATTTGAAAATTCACACATAAAGAAAACACATTTCTAATTGCTACTTGTAGTTTTATTTAAGTGGAAAAGTTCTTTTCTACCAAATTTCTTTTTAAAAAATTGTCCAAGAAAATCACTAATTAGTTTTAACGTTTTATTTTTGTTGTATTCATTTATTTATTTGTTTTTTCCTTCACCGTTTTTTTATAAATTAAAGCGTTTTTTCTAGCGTAAAATTATAAACTAGGCTTTTCAATAGGCATTGAATAAATTAAAGTAGGCGCAAAATAACTTCTAAATAAAAAGTTCTTAAAAAATATATAAAAATTCCGGAAAGTTCCTGCAGATTTTTGACAGCGGATATCTCCCAAAGTTCCACCAAAATATTCATATAATTATCAAGAAAATTTAATGATTCGTTTTTAAAAACAAGAACTATATTTAAAGTATAAATTTTGATACCACTTGGATATTTTTGGTGAACCTTCAGAAGCTTCACTATCGAAAATCAGCGTTCCTTATAACCCAACAGATAAGGAAAAAAAAGAGTCACTTAAAAGAAAACGTGAAATAATTCCTCAATAAATCTTTAGTTTAAATAATTCATAAATTATAAAATACTTACATAAAAAGCTGAACATGGATATTTGCAAAGATTGCAACCAGGCAACTCTAGATGGTGTTGCATCAAATTCTTCCATTAAATTTTTAAAATAAACTCCAAAACTTTTTCCATGTCCAATCACAACAATATTCACAGTCATGGTACCAAGTAGTACCATCCAACCCCAACCACCATCCGGTGCATTCCAAGATTCTGCGCTTATCACCGATTCTTTCGGCATTTCCGAGTCCTTCTTTCTTTTATTTCCTGTCATTTCTTTGCGTTTCCAGTCATTTTATCATAGAGTAATGAAAAAAAAAATTCTTTTATTTTTCTTACAAGTTAATTAATTTCCTATCTGTGATAATGCCATTGGCCATATCAAGGACGGATTCCGCAGTTTATCAATTTTTTTCATTTCTTTGAGACAGAATTGCACGAAAATGAAACAAGGAAATCTCGTGTAATTGTTTAATGAGAAATGCAAAAATAAAAAAAATCTCCGAACTGACAGCTGATTCTTTTTCGATTTATTTCTTTACAATACAATTTTTTTTAAACCTTTGGCATTAACTGCATAGTTCCATAAATAGTAAGCTCCTTCTTATAATAAGTGGAATCTATTAAGTAAATCTAAAATCATTCAAAAACTATTGTTTTTAAATTATTTTTCTAATTCCTATTGGAAAATTGACATAAATCACTGCCTCGAAAAAGAATTAAAAATATCAAGTTTCATAAAATTTATTGGTATGATTTTATCCTGTATTAAATAACATGTGCTTTCATCCAACAAATAAAAAATATTTTTTTTAAAAAAATTGTAGCTTTTAAGTATATATTTATATTTGTCTTACAAATAATCTTAATATTAGCACCTTTATTTGTTATGTTCATCAGGATTCAAAATAAATTGCATTTAAAAGCACAAAATACTGACATTTAATAAATTAATTTATTTATTTTAAATATGCGTATTTCACAAAAAACTTCGAATCGAAAATCTAACTCTACAGCGCTCACATTAATACAAGTTGGCAGTTAATGAATATTAAAATAAGCTCAGAACTTAATTATTTAACGGAACCATCACCCCTTTCGTCTCGCCAAACGCACAACAATAAGTTCTTATCGATGTATCACGATATTGTCCTTTTCTGCTACTCGCAAAATTATATCATTGCTCTGGTAATATGCTAAGTCTAATTAACGAACGATGACATAACTGTTGTTTAATCGAAGGTTCACCTTGGAAACACACTATAATGAATGAAACGTTTCCGAGAGCTGTTGTCATTGTTCTTCCTGTGCGGGGAAGAGATGTCAGAAGGAAGAGCGAGAGCCACTTACCGGTTACTCTCCTAACGCCAAATGTTTTCGCCAATTTTCGATGCCAAAGATATTTTTTTGCCAAATGGAACTAAGACTGAAATACGTTTTGTCTTGAACGGAAATGTAAATAAATCAATCTTTACTTTAGACACCCCTATGTGGATAAAATGAAGTTAGTATTGAATTAAAATGCAGTAAATAAATATATATTTTATGTATGTGTCAATAAAAATTGTACTAAAATGGGTAAATATGTAAAAACTTAAATATTTTTTAAAAATTTTCAAAAAATATGTACAAGCGTTGTTAAAAAAATAATAATTTTAATTTATAAACATATTTTTGAACACAAATTATAAACAACGCATACATTTAATTTATTTGTTCACAGAGCCTTGTAGAATCTTATTGAAAAATTAAAAGAGTTTGAATAAATATTATTTTCTTTAACTTCTTATCCTCCAAAAAGTATGCTTTCATTGAACTATTTTACTCAATGATTATAATCTACATTGTAGTTTACTGAATTATAAGTGCATCATACATTAAGCGTGAACATAGTTTACTGAATTATCGGTGTAGCATACATTAAGCGTGTAGTTTACTGAGTTATCAGTGTACCATACATTAAGCATGAATATAGTTTACTGGGTTATCAATGTATCATACATTAAGCGTGTAGTTTTCTGAGTTATCAGTGAATTAAGCATGAATATAGTTAATTTCAAATTTCTCAGCACTTATAAACATTACAAACTGATCATTTTGAGTTTCATATGCATGTCTAAATCAGTTATGAGAAGTCATAACCAGAAAAAATTTAAAAAGTGGGACAAATGTTTCATGTCACTCAGTGAAATTTTAATAGCTTTAATTTCCTTTTAATTTTAGGAATTAAATTGATGAGTCTTAATTTCTAGATATATTTCCTTCAAATTACAAGTCATCGGTGAGAATTCTGGACGTAGCTAAGAACAATGGACACAGCTAAGAACGCGTGTTTAAGAAAATAGATTTGATTCTGTTTTTCAATCTTCTTCTTTTTTTAAATTAAACTAATGAATCCAAATAAAATGAGATTTCGTCTATTTGTATAAATCCCTTGGTACATTTTATTTAATAGTCGTTTTTAGAAGAAAAAAAACTTTATCTGGAAAACCTAGACAAGACTTAACCTGGCAAAATGAATAAAATATAATTTAGTCTTAAAGAACACGCAATAAACAACTTTTTTTATTAGAGCAATAAGCTAGCAAACATATTAATGGTATCTTTAAAATGTTTAAAAAAGCTGAATCTCTTATAATTTACTTTAAAACAATGGCCTTAGCTAAACCAATGAGAAAATTTCATTTATCAATGTCTCTGAATAAAACTTTTTTCAAGAAATTGAATTCAGGCTTCATAATTTATTTACAATTGTACCTATTTAGGTTCATGTTGAATGTCATATTTTTAAATTAGTATTTTTCAGAAAAGACTTTATCTGGCAAACTTAGACAAGACTTGACCTGACAAAATGAATAAAATATAATTTAGTCTTAAAAAACACGCAATAAACAACTTTTTTGATTAGATCAATAAGCTAGCAAACATATTAATGGTATCTTTAAAATGTTTAATAAAGCTGAATCGCTTATAATTTACTTTAAAGCAATGGCCTTAGCTAAACCAATGAGAAAATTTCATTTATCAATGTCTCTGAATAAAACTTTTTTCAAAAAATTGAATTCGGGCTTCGTAATTTATTTACAATTGTACCTATTTGCGTGTTGAATGTCATATTTTTAAATCAGTATTTTCCAGAAAAGACTTTATCTGGCAAACTTAGACAAGACTTGACCTAACAAAATGAATAAAATATAATTTAGTCTTAAAGAACACGCAATAAACAACTTTTTTGATTAGAGCAATAAGCTAGCAAACATATTAATTGTATCTTTATCTAAGGCCATTGTTTTAAAGTAAATTTTAAGCTGAATCGCTTAAAATTTACTTTAAAACAATGGCCTTAGATAAACCAATGAGAAAATTTCATTTATCAATGTCTCTGAAAAAAAAGTTCTTCAAAAAATTGAATTCGGGCTTCGTAATTTGTTTACAATTGTACCTATTTAGCTTCATGTTGAGTGTCATATTTTTAAATTAGTATTTTTCAGAAAAGACTTTATCTGGCAAACTTAGACAAGACTTGACCTGACAAAATGAATAAAATATAAAATATTTAATAAAGCTGTACAATTTATTTTAAAACAATGGCTTTAGCCAAACCTAAAGGGAAAATTCCATTTTTAAATGTCTCTGAATTAAAACTATTATCAAAAAATTAAAAATTTAATCAAAAAATTAAAAATCAGGGCTTCGTAATTTGCTTGCGATTGTACTCATTCAGCTTCATGTTGAATGTTATATTTTTAGAACCTAAGGTTTGCACGCAATCCGATATACAGACACAAATAAAAATGACTCATTTTATTTTATATAAATAGGTAAAAATTATTTATTTTATTATGTATAAATAAATATGAATTAAAAATCTATTTCAAGGACAAGTGACTGCATTAAAATAGTATTTTTTATATTTATTTAGCATACAAAATTATTTATTTATTAAATTGCATTTGGTTTCTATTTCATAAAGTAATGTGACTAATCAATATTTAAAGTTGGATGAGAGATATTTTTAAAAAACTGCTTTTAAAGCAAATAACAAAATTCCATAAATAATCACCCCTTTTTTTAAAAACACAATAAGTTGAGTCATGAATCGCAATTAAATTTGCCATTGTACGAAAATTTACCTAATTTAAAAAAATGAAATGTAGAAAAAAGTTGCAGATGAATTAAATATTTTATGTTTAATCCATTTGCAATTTTTTATACTTTATTAGATGAGTTATATCTAAAAAATTTTCTAATTCAGTAAATAAGTGATAATAACTAGCACACTAACACTATAACTTAATAAATGTGTTAATAGCTAAACCCCTTTATTATTACAGTAAAATTTACCGGGGTGTTGTTTTAGAAAAGTTTTATTTACAACTATTATGTATTATATTTAGAATAAGATATTACAGCAAAAATATTTAATTATTTTTCACAATAGAAACCTTGTCTCTTAATTTTCCACTTAACGTTCTGTTTTGTCTCGTTACATAAAATGTGTAGCAGAATTTTGCCAATTTGCCAAAATTCACAGAGAATTTCTTTGAAAATATTTTATTTGTCTACACTCACTCCATCTTCCCTAGGCACAAATTTGTCTTTTGTAGAAAAAATTTATTTACAAAGAAGTATTCTCAAATTTTCATAAGTATAAAAAAAAAATATTTAAATTTAATGACCTAAAATTTCATTTTTAAATTTTTTCGAAAATCACATTTTATTCTTAAAATATTTTTCTCAAACCAAGTATTCGCCAAATATTTTAAAATTCTTGTATATCTTTTTGAGTAAATTCCTTTGTCTGTTGCCACTTATGCCCCTTCCTGGTGCGCCACTAGTTTACTGAAATTTATTTGCTTGCGCGAAATAAAATAAAAGTATGTATTTGCATGATTGCATCAAAATTCAATTGGAGATACTGTCACTTTCTTTATCTCTTACTTTTATTAAAGGAGATTTTTATGCATTTTAAAAACACAAATTAAGTCACAAGATTACAATTCAAATTGAAAAAAAGAAAAACAATACTTATTGCTTGATTCTAAAGAAAATTATATTCACAATAATTATAATAAAAAGAATACAAAAATCTGTTTAAAAGAAATAAAAATAAAAAATAATAAAAAGAACATTAATTTAGCCTCTCAGTGAATACAAAAGAAGGGCGAAAAAGCACCATGCCGAAAACAACAAATGGAAGCGCAATTCTCGTCTTAAAATCAAAAAATAAACCAATTTTAATTTGCTTGATATTTCAAAACTTAGTAATGAAATCAAGTTATTGCTCTACACCTGATATTAGTTATCAATTTAATAAAACAATCTTTGTTGCACACATAAATTAACATTTTCTGAAATGTGTTTTTTCCTTCGTCAGATTATGCACTATTATTCTCATTTAACAAAATTGTCTGTGGGACCTTGATTAGGATAGATTTTTAATTATGCATTCTCCTTAGATATAGACATTATTTCCTTTAAATTATTTGAAAGCATTTTATAATTAATTCGTACAAAATAAAATGCAGTTGAGATTTCAACAATTTTGTGCCTATAACCTCTAGATTTCTAAATTTTTCCGAGCAAAATAGAGAACATTATCAAATAGAGAGGAGTTTAAGACCATAATTTAAAACTCCCTCTGAACTTTATCAGGCAATCAAATTAATTTTGATATTTTTTCTTCCGTTTTCCTCATTAGTGATTCAGCAAATTTCGATCCCAGTTTTGCTGGCTTAAATATTAATTTGGGATCCCTAATAAATATTTAAACCCTCTCCAACAATTACGGAATTCTCGTAGTTTCACAAATTCTTCGAAGTGGTTGTAAAAGTAATGCAGTAGCATTTAAAAAAATTGTCCACTTGATAAAAAGGATTTAAGCAAATATATAAAAGGTTCGATTGACAAATGGTTCCGTTCACAAGTTCTGATAAAAAGGTTCGCAATATTTTTATTTTTTATTTATTTTATTTTAAGAAATTCTACTCTAGTTCGCTACCACTGGAAAAGTAATTTTCTGAATAACAGTTGGAGAGTTTGCTAGTGGTTTTACTTTTCATTATTTTGGTGAAGGATTCTAAAAATATATATCAGGAACAGTTTAAGAAGCTCACAGCATTTCCCGTTATGACCGCCGAACAGTTTGTTTAACATTGATTTACGTGATCTTAAAAATATACAGAAATATATTCGAATGAGCCGGCCTGGTGGCTGAGCGGTTAGCGTGCCTGACTGCGAAGTCATAGGCTGCGGGTTCGAATCCCGCTCTGGGCATGGATGTTTCTCTCTCTCTTTGTGCTGTCCTCTGTTGTGTGTGAGCATGATG